ATAAATAATTTATATTATAAAAAAATATTTATTAATAATTTATTTTAAAATATTAATATTTATTTTATAAATAGTTTTGGTAAATAAAGATTGAACTAGAAAGAAAGATAAAAGAATTCTCTCAACCTCTCTCATTTAAAAAATATCTAAAAATATTCTTATACAAAATAACGTATTTAATATATTTATAAATTCTTGACATGTAACACAGATGATGCATAATTATTAAGATCAATGCAAAGTTTATCAAATAAAAGTCTTATTAATATTTTTCTGTTTAAAATATAACTCATTTTTGTTTTATTTTCTTTATTAGAAGAAGAAGAAAAAAAGAAAAAGACAATTTTATCATTTGACAATTAAAAGAAAAAGACAAGTCATTATTAAAGTATCTGATTCAAATTAAATGAGTGTTACATGTTTATTTCTTATGAACTTTTTTTAGTAAACAAAGTCGTTTTACTTCGTAGTAAGCTGTCAAACTGAATTATAAATTATGAGTAAATTAATTATTCAAGTTTTTTTAATGTTTATTTTTTATTCATAAGTCATAACGCTTAACTTTAGATAATAAAGTATATATCAAGTGCTAGAAATAAAGTAAAAGCACCGTGAAAAAAAATTATGTTATCCAAATACAAACTACCATATATGTTAACTTTGATAATATAAAAGGATTTTTAATTTTTGATAGTATTAAAAAATTCATACAAACAAAGCATATTGTTAAACTCTTAATTTTAACATTTTATTTAAAAGTTGTATAAAAAGAAATTTTATTTAGAAGTGGTCGATAACTATACATTTAATTTATTCATTTATTTACTTGCTGATAAACTTTTATTAAAATTAGTGTTATAAAAAAGTTGTGAGTCTTTTGAGCACCTTTTTGTTTCGCACAGTATACTTGGAATATACTTTTTTTATTGGTACAAAATTTGGAATCATTTAAAAATTTTCATGCTAAATTTAGAAGGTGATGGTCCTCATATTTTTAAAGTACAAAAGGACGGCTAAAATATAAAGGCTTTTTAAATTCAAATTAACCTCAATTTTATATACGACTAGTCTTCATAAATAAAAATCAACTTCTAAAATTTGTCTTTTCAAACACACTGCGATATAATTTTTATTTTTATTTTTATTTTTAGATTTTTGTCATTTTCAACCTTTTGTTCATAAAAGAGCGTACTACATGTGGAGAAAGTTTTGTTATCAAATCTAACCATTCGATATGAAAACAACAGAAAGTGGGGTTTATGATTACTTTATGCATTATATTCTATAAAAATGACTTGTAAAATTACTTTCATTTCATACGAAACTAATAATATTTCATAGGTAGAAAATAATTTCCATGTTTAATTTTTTATCATGACATTAAATTGTTTACCTGCACGATATATTTTAATCACACTTTTTTCATCTAAACAAATTATTTTTTAAAATTTCCATAAAGTCATAAACAGAATTGACTATACTATGTTAAATTCTATTATATTCAAAATATATATATATATATATATATATATATATATATATATATCAATCAAAATATCATATTTCATAAAATAATTAAAACAATCATTTTTAAAATCTTAACTCATCTTATGAAATCTTTTAAGTTTTAAATTTTTAAACTATTAAAAATTATATATGAAATTCCTTCAAATGCCCAAAATTATTAAAATAAAAATAAAGGTGTTATATACAAATAAACCAACCAAAGAACTTGTTCGTGATAAATAAAAAAATAAAATAAAAGACAAAAATTTGAATAAAAAAGTACTAAAAATAAAATTACTTCTTTACCATGACATAAAGAACAGAAATATAATTAAATTATCGCACTAACACTTTAGGGAGACAATAATTTTATATGCTTTTCAATAAAATAATAATAATCTTATATATGCTTTTAACTTAAAAAATATATTTTTCTCTTCGTTACCAGCTAAGAGTGACATGGAGGATAAGACTTACAGCCAATGTGTGATCGTTATGTTTCAAAATTGAAAAGATATAATTTTAAAAGGACAGATATATTAAAAGGCTTTTCATGCCACGTTCAAATTACATGCGATAATTTCATTAACTTCAAATTATACTTCCAAAACAAAATCACACTGATATGGCAGATACAAAATTTTATACATTCATTAAAAAATAAATAAAATTATTAATTTAAAATAACTAAAATTAAAGTCTGTTTATAAAAGTCACATGTGATCCATGTGCGATCTAACTGATGCAACATTTCATATTCTAAAGGATTATTAGTTTTAATTATTACTTGCATAAATTAAAAATTTCCACATGCATGTACAATAAAAACAGCTGGATGCCCATTGGTATTCACATATCACAATTGACCTTTTGTATACATGGATGCTTCCTGCGAATATTCAAAACGTAAAAGTTAAAATAAAATAAAATACCAAATGCATCCAATTAACGGTACAAAGTAGAAAGCATCAATGCTTACAAAGAATTTACCCCCATGGATATTTGGTTGTTGGAATACTCGGGAAATAAAAATAAAAATAAAGGTAAGTATTCAATTCCCAACGCGGAGAAAAACTCTTTAAAGTTGAAAGTTAATTATAAAAAAGTTACATCAGATGAAAATTTTTTAATATAAAATTAATTTTAAAAAACTAAATATATAAAAATAATTAATGATTTAGTGGAAATTTTATTAGAGTATTTTCATATAAAAATCATATTAACTTAAATATATTTTATATATTATATATTTATATGACATGAAATATAATATATAATGCATAAAAATTCTAAGAGCGTGTTTCATTGACTTATAACTTTTATTTAGAGTTTTTTTTATTATAGAAAGTTATTTTTTTTCTAATAACAAAATTTAAGACTTTTTTAAATTTGTATCTAAATGGAATCTAAAACACATACAAAAGTATATATATATATATATATATAAGATTTTTTTTTATGAGAATAACAGATTTTATGTGAGAATAAAAATTATCACCTTCAACTATCTAATTAAAATAAAAAATTACGATTAAAATACTCATTAAAATATATAATAGATTCATGGTCTCTCACTTAACAAATTTATTTTCCAAAATTTTCTAATTTGTCTATCCTCGCATTATCATTATCATTATTGTCACAACAAATATCGATGTCATCATCATCATCATTGGTGGTAATGATTTCAATAATGATAATAATAATAATAAAGATAACTACGATGATGGTATGGTAACTATTTATAAACTTGTAATCTAAATCAATTATTTTAATTTAAGAATTAAAATTGAGTGTTTTGATTCTCACATAAAAATTATATTCTTATAATGTACGGTCCTAATAAATGTTTTTGAGTGTTTTTCTATAGAAAATAAAAGGAAAAAAAATCTCTAACAAAAGTATGATTTTAGCATTCAAATTTAGAGGATTGTGTATTGCATGATTCTTCTTCCCACCGACTATGTTAAGCTTATAACCACTGATAGGTTACCAATTGAATTATGTCGATGGACTTGGTCAATCTATATCGTGATTTTCGTGTAGATTTGATTATGATAATAAATATGATTTATAGAATCATTATATAAGAAAAAAATAACAAATGGGATCATGATCAAATGTAACAAAATTACACCACACACAGAAAAAGAGGTAATAACAACAATAATAATAATGACAACAATATTAATAATAATGATAGTATAAACAACAATAATATTAACATTATT